AAAAGTTTTATAAGCAGTTCTCAAAAAATATGAAGCTTGGAGTTCATGAAGACTCTCAAAACAGGAAGCAGCTATAAGAGCTGCTGAGATGCTACACATCTTCTGGGAATGAGGTGGTGTCACTCAAGGACTACTGCACCAGAATGACAGAAACTAGATGCACATCTATGTCATGACAGCTGAGACCAAGGACCAAGTTGCTAACTCAGCCTTAGTGGGGCGTCTCTGACAGCAAGGCTTGGAAGTGATCTATATGATAGAACCTACTGATGAGGATAGTTTGCCACAGTTAGGGAATCGGACACCAGTGTCAGTTACCAAAGTCAGACTGAGATGTCAGAAGGTGTCAAACTAATTGGGGACATGGTCATGCTGTATCGTTACAAGAATATATGGGTGGACAGCAAACATGGTGAGAATCAAGAGAGCGCAAGTCCTCAGAGACAATTCAACGATGGTTACATGGCAGCAAAGAAACAGCTTCTCAAATTTGACCTTCACAACTTCAGTAGCCTTTGTATGCATGTTTTCATACATCAGTATAGATACGTTCATGCTGTGGCCTCCATGTAACATCAGAGGACAACCGTGGGTATTGGTCCTATCTTTCACCTTGTGTTAAGCAGTCTCTTTGCTATTTACCACTGCAGAGGTCAGGCTACTTAGCCTGGAACTGTTGTCTTACTCTCTCAGATTACAGGTGGCAACTATTTGTTGGTTTTACCTGGGTTTTGAACTCAGGTCCCCAGGCTTGTACAGCAAGCACCTTTAACCAATGAGTCACCCACCCCCACTCTCAATTCGTATTGCCTTCAGAACAGAATATCATTTCTACTGCAGTATATTTTGAGTTCCTAATCATCCTTCCTTAAAGTTGTCAGCCCTTTTCAACCTTCCATCTGAACCTGCTGCCTGCCTGCCTGCATCCTGATGGGTTTCCCTCCTGTATGCTTTGGGCATGCCTGATGCTTTTGTTTTCTGGTTTTCCCCAGTTCCTTTTACATCACAGGGCAGTTCTTGACATAATTGTTAAATTTTTGTTTGTTTGTTTGTTTTTAAATAACAGGACCACACTATATAGCCCAGTTCAGTCTGGCCTCCTATTCATGATTCCCCTATCTCAGTCTTTTGAGTGCTGGAATTACAAGCCTGTGCTTTTAAGTTTCCAAGTTGTTACTGCCTTGGCAGAGTACAGCCAAACATGATAAGATACTGATATCTGCCAGAAAAAAGTAGAATATAGACTGCCTTTTAAAAATTATTTTATGCATGTGTTTGGCCTGCATGCATGCATGCATATGTACCACATGTGTGCCTGGTGCCTATGGAAGTCAGAAGGGATTGGATCCCCTGGAGCTGGAGTTATAGATGCTTATGATCCACCATATGGGTTTGGGGAACTGAACCTGGGTCCTCTGGAAGAGCAACAAGTGCTCTTAATGCTGCGCCATCTCTCCAGCCAGTCAGTTGTTTTTGATGCTGCTTGTAACTACAAAAAGCTACTGGTGGACTACCTTCCCAAGTGATGTGAGAACTAAGCAATTACTGGTACACAAAATTCTACATTATAGAGATTCTACAAGAATAAGAGTGAATGGCTCCTTGTTTTCCAAATTACTAAATCTTTCAAGTACTGAACACATGCAGTTTTTTAAATGTTGGAGTTTATTGTTGGGAATTACAGCATGCCAGGTTTCTGCTGGGTCATATTTGGAGGTCATTCTCTAACTTTCCCTCACCCTCCTGAAGGAGAGCTAATGTGGTGGTTTGAATGAAAATGGCCCCCACAGGCCCATAGGGAGTGGCATTATTAGCAGGGGTGGCCTTGTTGGAGTAGGTGTGGCCTTGTTGGAGAAAGTTTGTCACTGAGGGCTCAGTGTCTCTCTCTTCCTACTGCCTGCCAATCCAGATGCAGAACTCTCAGCTACCTCTCCAGCACCCGTGTCTGTCTGCATGCCACCATGCTTTCTGCCATGATGATAATGGCCTAACTCTCTTAATCTCTGTTCCTTATAAGAGTTGCTGTGCTTATATTTAAATTTAGAAGTGAAAGCATTTTTAAAATATGTAAGTTGGATTAATGTAGCAGCACCTACAATCAAATGTATTGTAGCAGCTGTAGCTCTTTCATCAGTAATCAAACAATTTAAAGACAACAATATAGCATATAGTATCCACACTCTGTGTGCATTTTCCATCTTTACGTGGCTTTTTCATTACTCTATTTCTTTTACTTTTATGTTTTCTTTTTATGAGACAGGATTTCTCTGTGTAACTTTGGCTGCCCTTGAATTCACTCTGTAGACCAGGCTGGCCTTGAACTCACAGAGATCTGCCTACCTCTGCCTCCCAAGTGCTGGGATTAAAGGTGTGTGCCACCAAACCTAGCTACTTTTTTTTAAAAAAACACTTTATCTTGTTTCCTTTTCTTTCACAAGACTATGTATATTTTTTTTATTAGTTCAAATTAGGAACAAGCTTGCTTCACATGTCAATCCCTTCTCCCTTTCTCTCCCCCCGCAGTGCCCCACCAGTGCTCTTCCCCTCCCCCCTCTGCTGCCCAAGGAGGGTAAGGCCCTCCATGGGTGCTCCCCAAGGTGCACCACATCATCCTGGGCAGGGCCTAGGCTCTGCCCAATGTGTCCAAGCAAAGAGAGCAAACTTGGGAAAGGAGTTTTGGCTTGCGTTTCCACAGAAAATGGAAAGCTATGGATTCCTTCCAGACTAATATGGTTTGATGAAGCAAGACCCTCTGAAGGAGTGGCCCAACTGATCCTACATCCAAAAGAGCCAAGATGATGCAGTTATAGACCACTACAGCCAGGATTTCTGTATTTTATCATGATTCCCATGGTATGGACATCGCCCCCGACCAACAGGAAGCAGTTAGGAATGAAAGATGCCCAAATTCCTAAATATTGTTTATAAATGTTTATTTTCATTTAAATGGGATTGGTTATAAATGGTAATGATCACAGTCAATCTCCTTTTAAAGGAAAAAAGGGGAATAGGATATAGAAATAAATACTTTGCATTGGTATGAATTTTCATTTATTGATACAACTTTAAGGTCAATTTTGTGATATGTATATGTCTCCTTTTGTTTAGGTATTGTGTTTATACAGATTTTTTAAATGTAATACATAATTAAATACAGATTATATAGTCACCTATAATAGTCAGAACTTACAATTAGGTTAGTTATGTTTTCTAGATATACAGAGATGTATTTGAGATGGATAGTTATTCTTCAAACCTTTCAAAGACCTCAGAATACATGGCGTTTAAATGGTTTAGGGTTTTTCATGACAATGAGACACAACTGCTTCTGGCACATCAATTACGTCAGAAAGGAGGATGGGCATCGAAGAAACTCAATATGGAGTTTGCCTTCAATATGGCAAGATTATCCATTTGGGCAAGAAACTTCTCTTGCCTGGAATGTTTGATAAACTGGACATGCAGGACCCACAAGAAAGTGACTGCTGAACTTGCAAAACAGGATAGTCCTGAAGGGGTCCTGCTTCATGGAGAAGTCTGCCAGACACACTGTGGCCTATAGGCTGAAGATGGATGCCCCAATGTTACAGAGGAACTTTGGGTGACTGTCCAGGTAGGGAGATGTCTCTGTTAGTTCTAGAGTTATATATTATCCTTCTGTGGTCTTCTCTGCCCTGCAGGTCCTTTCTGATCCCTCATTCTGTGAAGACTAAAATTTGTTACAGTCAGCACCAGACCATGTGTCTCTTGTTCTGTAATTACCTCCTGTTTCCTCCAGTTTCATAGCAAGTTGTTCAAAGCACATCTTAGTGTTCTTCTAATAGCACAGACACAAAGTAACACATTTGTCAGCTGAAAGGAACACAGTTTTAAGGAAACACTAAACTGGGTCTGGCAGCATAAACCTGCAATGTCAGCAGAAGCAATTGGACTGAGAAACCAAGATGACCTAAGCTACAGAGCAAGACTCTGTCTCAAAGGAGAAAAAAAAACTACAGCATTTCCATGAATGTGAAATGTTGTAGGGAAGAAACAATTCAGTCACCTGCCTCCCCACTACTGAAGGACTAATGTTAGGTTTTTCTCCCAACACTACTGGAAGCACTTGGTTAATGTATAAGTAGGAAAGGGGGCTATAGAAGGAATAACGGTGTACACCTGTAAACCCAGCCAGCACCTGGGATGCAGAGGCAGGAAGGAACATTTTGAGCTTCAGGCTATCCTAGGCCACATGACAAGTTCAGAGCTGGCCTGGGCTATATACAAAAGTCCTACCTCAAAATACAAGGGCTAAGGATGAAGTTCAGTGGTAGAACATTTGCTTGGTATGCGTACAACCCTGAGTTCACTGCACAAGACGGGGACACTTTTCACATGTAAATAAAACAGTGCAACCAGAGCTAGGAAGAAAGCTCACTTAATGTAAGGCATGAGAATCTGTGTATGAATCCCCAGAACCTACACAAAGCTGATGTCTACAAGCCGTGCTCCTAATAGGAGATGGGAGCAAAACCAGGAAATCGCTGAAGCTTGCAGGCCAAGCAGCCTGACATACACAGCAGAAAAGTAACAAGAGGCCTGACTCGAAGACGAGAAGGTGAAGGCTGACAGACAAGGCTGTCCTCTGACCTCTACCCCTGCACCATGACACATGAATGCCTGCATATTCTCATATTTTACTGCCCTACACCTCCCACACACACACACATGCATGGAAATAAGATTTTTAAAGCACAATCAGTTTCTGTGGCCTAAGAGAGCTTAATAACAACAAAGGTTAAAATAGATTATGGCATATTATGGCATAATTAAGAACATAAAATATTCTTGTAGCACCAATATATTTTATATCCCAAATCTTCCAGGATCTGAAACTGAAATAAACATATGTTCCAATGAGCTGTATTGTATTACATTCACTTTCTCATTTTAATGAAATATCATTACCTTATTTTAATACAACTCATTCATACAATGAAAATAACAAAAAGTCCACTTACCCCACCCATTGTGATCCCATCAATAAGGGCAACATATGGTTTCTGACAGGAAGCTAAAAGAGAAAGAGCTAGTTAGAGTATCTAAAATACATCCACTTTCCAAAAAGTCCCATATGTGTACTCTAGTCTCCTAGGAAATGTTTAAAGAAATACCAAGGAAGACTATTACATGGTTTGCAATGTATATTTAAATGTCAATTCTCTCACAATCATGATAAAATAATCATTACTGCTTAACAACTCAGTCTTAAGTCACAAACAAATAAAACTTTTGTAATATTTGTCAAGTAAGAAAAATAATTAACATCTGCATTATAAGCCACATACCCAGCTGTGCATTAAGAGCATAATTGCTTTCTATACAATGACAGCATCAGGACACATGCAGAGAAGTACACTGTACAGGAACAGTCACAGAGTGGGGGGGTGACAAGACCCAGATTCCAGTCTCAGCTTTATTATTAAATGAACAGCCACTGAGTAACAAAAAACGTGAGTTATATATGACATATACACATATCAGATAAGGGTGTTTCATGTACATCATCCATAAATAAGTGTCTTTATCTATAAAATAACACCTAACACATGTCCTCAAATATCCCTCCCTGTTTGTAAATTCCATTAATCACATAAACTTTTACTGTTTCTATTTCCCCTTTTAGGTTTTCTTCTCAGAGAGTTTGCAGAACATAATGACATAACTTATGGGTCTTTTGTCACATCTTACTATCAACACTACCCCTGATAAAGGCCAAGGTAAAACTGCATTCTGATACATTCTGGAAATTTCCAATGTATTCACAAACAAAACACAACTCAGACGTCACACTCAAGAAGTTCCTTACAAACTATACAAGTTATTGATTGTGTTAGAAATACATACACAGACCCCACACCAACTACTATAGAAGTGCATATTTCAAATATAAACTATTAGGTAAAACTAATGCAGGACATAAAACCAGAATCTGCCAAATCTCTTTACTGACTATAATATCACTACATACAGAAATTTTACCTTATGACTTTCTCTGTATATTATTACCAGACATTATCTTTACACTGCCTAAACACTTTCTATTTCCTTTTTATTTCATGAAAAAAAAATGAGTAGTCATTGTCCACATGGAACCATTCATATTAAAATATAAACAACATTTAAAATTCAGTTTCTTGATTGCAGCACATTTGTAGCCACATACCTTGTTAATTTTCTAACACCAGAGGATGTTTATGGTATTACACTGTGAACTATAACTCCACAAAGATTCATGGGAAGAGGACTCCTACAAAGAGCTCATTTCTGGATGTGTCAGGGCGGAACAAGTCACTGTTTTTCCAGCCCAAGCTTCTGCAGGTGCCAAATGGCTGTACTCCTGTGCTAACTTGCATTCCCAGTCACTCATTCACCTATATTCTCTCTCTCTCTCTTTCTCTCTCTCTCTTTCTCTATCTCTGTCTGTCTCTCTCTCTCTCCTTTCCTACATGTGTCTGTCTGTCTGCCTGTTGTCTCAAGGCTAGGGAATAAACCTCAGGCTTCTGAGTTACATATTTCCAGGCTTCTACAGAAATGTTTTATAAGGAGACAAAACTATTATTAAGTTAAAAGAGAAGATCCAAACATCCAAGTCAAAACAAAGATGTGCACAAAAGTTTTCTATTTCTGGGAAATTTTGGAGACAATGTGAAGCTGTATAGCATATTCATTCCATATATTATTTCTAAATAAACTTTAGCAATTGGTCAATAGAGCAGCATATAGGGCATCTCTATCAGTAAAAACTAGAAATTACCTCCTATGCATAAATGTAGTCTAGATAGTGTTAGGTGCACTGACAACACTGAGGAGAACAAAAGTACCAGGGTTAGTGGCCAGCACTCAACAGTGAACTGTGCCTTTTACAGGTCGGATGCATTGAATGTCTTGCTGTGTTTTCAATTTAATTACAGCTTATTTGGACACACTCCCATCATTAGTCAGGGCACGTCTGTATACTGCTCTGTAAATTGGTTTTAACCACAAAGTGTTGTTAATCTTCTAAAGTCCACTGAACATTCATGGTATTACAATATAAATTCTAACTCCACAGATTCATGGAGGAAAGACTCATATCGAAGAGGACAGTTCTCCCCAAGTTAGTGCAGAACAAGCCCTGTGCTGTTAAAATCAATTTAAAATATGTATAAAAGAATACGCTACAGATTAATGTGAAAAGGGCTAGGGTTCCTTCTGGTTAGAGAAAGGAATGGCAGTAAGGAAAAGCACAAAAGAGGTTGAATTGTAAACTTAAAATGTATTTTTTTTTCTTTCTTTTTTTTTTTTTTTTTTTTTTTTTTTTTTTTTTTGGACAGTTTTTTTTTTTTTGTTTTTTTGAGGCTGGCCTCAAACTCACAGAGATCCGCCTGCCTCTGCCTCTGGAGTGCTGGGATTAAAGGCGTGCACCACCAATTCTTATAACATCATGTAAAATCAGAATACTGCTATGTGTAGACTTATGGATATAAATGCTGTATTAATTGATCTTTTCAAAACACGCTTGACTTCCACAGAAACCTATAACTCTGATTTTAAAGAAATTTCTACTCCAGAGTTCCTAGAGAAACAGATAATGGTACTTTATTTAGAAACCTAGAATGCAGGTTTTCTTGTCTTCTGAGAAAGCTAGCTAAATTATCAACAGCCCATATTTTCACATTGATTTTAGACAAACACAGAATAAATAGTTTTACCAGTTTGACCAAAAAGTAATAATGAATGTTTCCATAAAGAGTACTTATTAGTTGCATTCTAACAAATTACAGTGCCAGCCCAGGTCTCAAATTTCATGTTCAAAGTGCAGAGTGGACCACACACATACCAATGGCATTGTTCAGTATATATTCTTCTCTGAAAAAATCTCGTGTCAAATTCTGCCTTGTGTTTTTAGCTTCTGAGATTGCTAAAGAAGGAAAGAGAAAAAAAAAAAGGAAGGAAGGAACAATTACAAATTATAAAGATGGCTTCCAGTCAATACAGTCAAAATATTCAAAGTCCTGTAATTATTAAGTGACGTAGGGAGGGGAACTTACCCACAGTCTGACATCAATGCTTCAAAGCAAAAATACTTCTTTTACTTATTGTACTGTGAATATGTGAATATACACACATGAACACAAGCATCCATGCACATGCACATGGACAAATGCACACACACACACACACACACACACACACACACAGAGACAGATTTTCATTCACAGTTCCTGGCACCTTAAGTCCCTCTGCAAGGTAGGCCACAGACAAAAGAACTTCTCTACCTAAAGCAGGTGACAGTCCCTATTCTTTTCCCTCCCACTACTTGGAGCTGGCCAGAGACATTCTGATCTGGATCACCAGAACCCCATTTGAAGAGTCCTGTTCCAGACCTCAGAGGAAGGAATGGGTAGAGAAAGCAACAAGGATTTGGACACACAGGGCTTGCTGGGATTCCCATTGGTCTATCTGCATTAAATCACACTTCTGCATGCTCCTCCATGCTTCTACAATGAAACCCTCAGGGAAGTCCAAAGGCTGAAGAACAATTACAGATACTATATTGAGAAGAATATATCCTCTACAACGCCATTGGTGTAAGTGTGTTCACTGCTCTGAGCTTTGAAATTGAACAAGATTCCTGATAGATCAACAGGAGGAGGTTCCACACCAGCAAAAAGGACATGGAAACTCCTTACCCATTTTCCACACCTTGTCCCATCCCTGTACCCTTTATGAGAAAACAGGACATGTAAGATGACTGAGGCACACCATCCTAAGCAATGTAAGTCACCTACCTCTAGGTGACCTAAAACATCCAATGTAAATTGTTGCCACAGGGTGTTGAGAGAATAATAAGAAGGAAAAAGTACCTTTTTTGGTACAAATATAATATTTTCCAAACTATTTCCTATTTACAGTGAGTTGAACCCTTAAGGCAGAAACATCAGTCACCAGGGGCCAACAATACTTTCCCAAGAAAGATCTGCTGGGACTATGCCATTACAATGTAGTTACCTGAAGAAAAATAAAGCCCTTATCTGTTGTCCTTTGTTGAGCTAAAGCCCCAATTACCAACTCCAAGAGTAACTTTCCCCCAAGCCATCTCAGAGTTCCTTCTAATTTTATTTTAAGCTAATTTTATTCAAATCAACTAGTTATATATTGTGGTGGTTTGAATGAAAATGGCCCCCATAGGCTCAGAGAAGGAATGGCACCATTAAGAGGAGGTGTGGCCTTCTTGGAGTAGGTGTGGTCTTATTGGAGGAGCTATGTCATTGCGGGCAGGCTTTGAGGTTTTAGAAGCTCAAGCCAGGCCCAGCATCACACTCTCTCTGCTGTCTGTGGATCCAGATGTAGAAGTCTCAGCTACTTCTCCAGCCCATATCTGGCTGCATGCCACCATGCTTCCTGCCATTATGAATATGCACTAAATCTCTGAACTGTAAGCCAGTCTCAGTTAAATGTTTTCCTTTAAAAGAATTGCTATGCACACCAAAAGAAACCCTAAGATAGATACAGATAAAGATATAAATGACATACACCTTTAAATATTTTCTGAGTGTCTACTTGTAGAATTTTCTAGAATTTACATTTACTGTTTTTCAGTCATTCAAATAAAATTTATATCACACAATTTCCAATACTTACTAGTTCCAGTGGGGTACTGGCTTACAGTGGGCACTTTACCTTTGATGTCACCTCCAGCACAGAAGGCCTTTCCTCCAGCTCCCTTTATGATAATCAGGAATGTCTCAGGGTCCTGTTCCCACTTCTACACAAACATAAAAGATGATGGTGACTTTTGAGGGCACAGTAAATACAATCTCATTTAAGATACACTCACATACATATGTGTGCACATGTGTGACCTTTCCTAAAACACATCTAGAGGAATGGATCCAATCCATTTCACTTCTTTTTCTTTCTAAGTGCAATCTGTGTTCCAGGAATATCTGTCAAAGCTTTAAGATTAAGATGAATAAGTATGTGCCTAACAGCACTGTGTTATTTACATTTATGAGTCTAGTGAAAAAATCCACCCAAAGATTGCTGGCATGTAGTGCAGCAATAACCTTTCCCCCATGGCAAGATAGGACTGTTATACCAAAACAATTATTACACAGTCAACCTACTTACAAAGTTCTTTAAATATGTGGGTGGGTGATGAGGGTTTGTTGAGGTCAGAAAATAAAATGAGCAGGAGTGTGGGGTGCAGATCGATGGCAGAATGCTCACTTTATAGCCATACTACGAAAGATCATCATTCTCATTTCCTCATAGCCGAGGAAAGCAGGGTACAGAGATTAATATGACTAGCCTACAGAGGCGAGTATTCAGAAATCTAAGCTTCAAGTACATGCCTGACTTTCAGCCTTATACTTTCTAATGTCTCATCCATACCACTTTAAAACCTATGACCTTCTTAAGGATGGCTAAGAAATATAAAGGTTGTGAGGGCTGGGGTATAGCTCAGTAGAATACTTGATTAGCAGGCACTGGGAGGAGGGAAGAGGGGAAGAATGGGGGTCAAGCAGCAAGATGAAGGAGGAGCTACCCAAGCAATTTAAAAGAGCTGCCTCACAGGGCACAGAGGTGCAAACCTTCAACTCCAGCAAGAGGATAGGCAGGAAGACTAAGTCTGAGGCCAGCCTGGGCTACCTAGCTAGACTCTGGCTCAAAAACTGAATGACAAAGTGTCTTCAATGTAAAAGGTCAGGTAGAAGCATATTAGACTGGTACAGGTTAGGTCTCAGAGTTGGACAAATGGCTAACTAAGGTGTCTGTTTTGCATAGCAGAGTGGACCTGGCTACCCCACCCCCTTAAACTTCTCCAGCCCAGAAGCTGAGCTGCCCTTCATCCAGCTACCCTTCCCTATATAATCCAGCCATTTTGGTTACCAACTCCCCTTCTTTTTTTTCCTACTCTTCTCTCCTGGTCTCCTGGCTTTTCACCTATGTGGAGGGGCCCCAGAGGGCTTAACAGGGAGATGCCCACATGGTGATCAGACCAGAGGGCACAGCAGGAAAATGCCCATATGGTGTAGCATGCTTCAGGAGCCAGGAAGGTATCCTTCCATGTCTCCTCACATGGCCTGATGCAAGGTCATGTTCACTCTGGACTCTCCCAGATGTCCCTGTCTCTGCCTATGCTCTCCCTTCTATCCACAACAAACCTTCTCCACCAAGCTGAGGAGCAGTCATGTCCTTCCTTTTTATTTCTTTTTTTCATTTATTTGGTACCAAAGCCTGGGGCTGACATATATGAGTTCCTTTCTAAGGGATGCAGCCTCTCCAGCCAAGCTGATTTGACTCTCCTAAGGTGTGTCTGGATCATTTGTTTCTGCTGGCTTCTGCCACCTGCCATATTAGCCTCCAAATGCTAGAGTCCAAATTTTCAGCTGCTTCTTCCCTCCACGACCCTAACCATCCATCTCTTGCCTACTCAGTAAGTGTCCCCTCTCTAACTCCTAGAGCCTGCAACACCCTCTGGAATGCCCACCATATGGCCATTTTCCTGCTAGTCCCTCTGGGATGCCCACCACACAGACATTTTCCTGCAACACCCTCTGGAATGCCCACACATGGGCATTTTTCTGCTATGTCCTCTGGGACCCCACTTCCTCCTCTCTCTCTATTGGAACCCTCTCTTTCCCCAAGAGCCTCTCAGTCCACCTCTTCAGCTGTGCTCTCTACCTGCTCCACTCATCTCTCCTCCTCTTCTAGGCATGTGTCACCATGAGCTACCTGCTTTGTCTACTTTGATTACAGAAGCTACACAGGCCCCTATTCATGTCGAAAGGGACACCTCTCCTCTATGATTTATGACATTTCTCAGATATGTCTCTCAGTCTGTTTGGGGCAACCCCAGGTTAAAATTCTTGTCACCATGACACTTGAGGCCCCTGCTGTCTTATGGCCTCTCGCAGCTCCTTCCTGGAACTTCCTCACCTCCCCTGAGAACTGCATTCTAAGTTCCACAGCTTCTCTACTCTCCTCCGACTACAGCCCTTTCCTTGCTTCCCGCACAAAGCTATCTTCTTTGTCTCTCCGGGTGCCTTCCTGGCCTGTACACTGCAAGTTCCTTGCTTCCCCCTAGGAAATGCCTGCTAAGTCCCACAACTTTCCTGGGCCCTTCTGGGTCTCTGCCAACTGTGGTGGTTTGAAAGACAATGGCCCCACAGACTCATAGGGAACGGCATGATTAGGAAGTGTGGCCTTGTTGGAGTAGGTGTGGCTTTGTTGGAGATTATGCACTAGGGGGCAGGCTTTGAGGTCTCAAATGCTCAAGCCAGGTCTAATGTGACAGCCACTTCCTGCTGCCCGAGGATCCAGAATAGAATTCTCAGCTCCTCCAGCACCATGTCTGCCTGTATGCCACATGCTCCCACCATGACAATAATGGACCAAGCCACTAAACTGTAAGCCAGCCTCACTTAAAAGCTTTTCTTTATAAGAGTTACTGGGGTCAAGTGTTTGTTCACAGCAATAAAACCCTAAGGAAGACCTTGCCCTCCTGAAGTCTTGCAGCTTCTCTACACCCTCCTGGCCTCTACAACATTGGAACCCTCCCTTCTTGTCCCTCACAGCTACAGCATTCTGTGTCTCAGCTCCCTCTTGGAGCTGACTGGAACCCTCCCTATGGCAGAATTCCTTGTGGACCCTTCCTCCTCCTTTCCTCCTGAGACTCAGAGACTCTATTAAAACCTCACGTCTTACTGCAAATGGCTTGGCCTGGGTGCAGCTCCATGACTAAATATGGCACACTTGAGTTCCAAATTCTCACAGATTGTAACAACTTCTGCCAGCACAAGCAAATGATCCTAAAGTATCTCATCTATAAGGTTTTTAAACTTTCCACTCTTAAGTCTTTTATCTGTACAATTTCTCTGTGCTTTGCTCTCAGGAAATCTTTTAAGACTATTGTAACTTCAATGGGTGTGGTTAGAGAATCCATCCAAAAATCTGTATCAAAAATTGGCTTAAAGCCCATAACAAATGTAGATAGTTTAAAAATCTATACATAGGTAATCTTAATTTGCTACAACGTATTATATGTGAATCAACTCTTGTTTAGAAAAATAGATGCTTTTAAATAGCAACCATGCAGCTCTCCTCCATCTTGGCTGATGATTTCATCAAGATTTGAAAGCAATGTGACTGTCAGCCAACTTTAATAAGCTTAAAGAGTGTATGACATGTAACTTCATCATCTTAAGATGACAACGTGGCATAAAGCAGCAATTATCAAACTTCTTATTCCTAATAAGCTCTCTATCATAATATCTCCTTTCCAGACTAAGGAGAAAACAGCAGGTTTCCAAAATATTTTGGATTGGTATGGATCTTGGAATGATGATAAATGTTATGGTTATAAAAGTCTACTTATATTAACAAAGGTTGATTTAGAGAGTTACATCTAACTGCTTGTATTTTTGCTAACTGTTCAACACCAGGCTTCTGGAAAATTTAGATAAGTAACAATATGTTTGGTAAATAGGGTATATTTGATGATCATGGTTTATAAATTCCTAACGTCCACTTGGGTTCACAGTAACATCTGTCTAGATTCTTTGTGTTTGACCACTTTGTTAAGCTTTAGCTATATGGATAAACTAAGCCATACAAAAAACTGTGGTAGTCTATAATGGTGCTCCTATGGACTGTATTTATGGTTTAAAGTTTTATTTTGATGCTAAAGGATCTTCAATTAAATCTTCTACTCTAATTTGTAAAGTTCAAATTATAAAAAGATTTATAAAAGCTACCAACTTAAACTGTTAAAGATAATTGAGACATACAAGTTAATGTATTTTCAAAGTAAAGCCTAAACTCAGGTACAGTTAATAGATAGATGATCTCCAAACTCTTTAGACATCTGTTGAATATATCATTTAAAATGTTTAATGAAAAGGCTTCCCATAATAGACAAAATGCTCCTAGTAGCAACTCTAAGATCTCCAAAGAATATAGATGGGGCACAATGACATTACCTAAATTATGGTAACACTAACCACTGGACAAAGTTGCTCCATGCCTCACTTGCCGCCAGGGTTCTACACAAGCTGTGGACACTGTTAGCTAATTGCCCTGCTCTGCCTGGTCAGGGTAAGGTCAGTCCCCCAAGTCCCTTCTCCACAGGAACACCTCTCAGACATGGGTCTGGCAGCTCAAGGCCAATGCTGCTCTGTATGACAGCCTAAGACCCAGGACCTTTCCCCCAATGAAGTTATCAAAACCACAAGAGCCTAGGACAACTGTCTGGGTAGTAGGTCTCTGTCATTTTAATTGACAGATAGGCAATTTGGGTTATACCTCTTGCTATAATTTATCCTTTTCAGATCTCTGATGATGCTAACAGTTGCTTTAACAGCAACAAGCATCCAGCTCTTCCCCCAAGGCTTTAAATTTCTTCTCGGGAGGGAGGGAGAAATCAGGACTCAGGCTCCACTTTCCTAGAGCTACTAGGTCTCCAGCTGAGAAAGACAGTTTACCTTGTTCCCAGACTCTGAAAGGAGATAAACTCACAAAACAGGTTCAATGTAACTTTTTACTATTCCTTTATTTAAAGGAACTTGCTTTACAATGACTGCTCTCAGAATCAACCACTCATGTCTCCTGGCTAGAAAAAGCTTAAATTTTATGTAAGTTCTGAGGGTCTAAGAAAGTGTTTTAAAAATGTGTAAACACAGGTTATAAAGGTCTAAGAAGCTGTTTAAAGGTATGTAAATGCAACTTGTATAGGTTTAAGAAAGTGATTTGTGGTATATGGAAAATAAAAAATTTCATATTTCTCTCCTCACTATGCTATTACATTAAAACTTCTAAAGGCCAAAATTTCAACATCAATCAAAGAAGTTCTGATGACCTGGTAAAGCCGTGACTGCTATTATCAATCACAAGCTCAAGATTTTAAACTTACTCTGGTTGTCTTCTAAGAAAAGACTTAAAAGTGCTTCTCAATAGTGCTAAAAACATCTCTGCCCAATCTATATATCCAGCCCTTTGGAAACAGTGTTCATGCTTTTAACTCAGAATCATTTTGGGTCCTCAGGCTTCTATTGTGACTCAAAGGCATGAGTCTACTGCCTTTTCTACACTGTGGATTTCAGTACACAGTATAAACAGTAGGAATCCTAGCATATCTAAAATTTACCTTTTTTTGTAAACTTAAAAAATTCTTATAAGCTTCAGGGAATCAACTTGGATCCACCTCCCCCAGATAAATACTCCTAAATTTTCCCTACCGGCCTATTCTTGAGGGCCTTTCCCTGGTCTTGGGACTCCCTTCCCCCAAGTATCAGGACCATGGGCCTGGAAGTTTCAAATATAGACCCTGGATAGAAAATTTCCCCTAAACTCCTTAACTATACCTTCTGTTACTAGTCTAAATGTCCCAGCAGATTTCAAATCAACAGCATACTGCCAGTCCTAGGTGTTCTCTTAGAGTCTGCACCCTAGCCTGCTCAGCTCCAAAGCTGGTAGCCCAGGTGGTCCAGACTCACAAACTGCTCCAATGCAGCCTGCACTTCCCCAGCCCCAGTTGGTCCTGCAGAGCCAGGACAGAAACTGAAAACAGCCTTCATTCCCCTCTCTCTCTTTCCAGCCTTGGACAACATTCTCACTTTCTTCAGTCCCCAACAATGACTGCACCAATGTCAACAGGAAGAAGTCATAGAAAAGATTACATCTTCCCTTACCATTTATTATCAACAAAAGGATGGGATGTTATGACTCAAACCCAGGCCTATTTAAAAACATATCAAAGTGAACCAAGCCACCAGGTCTCCTAGCACCCCTCAGTCGCTACCTGTTACAGAGTATGGCTGGCATACCCACCCCTTACCCTAAACTTCTTCATCCCAGAAACTAAGCTGCCCTTTCCTATATAATCCAGACATTTTGGTTATCAGGCCCTTTTTTGTCTACTCTTTACTCTCCTAGTCTCCTGGCTTTCCCCTCCCTCCCCTCCTCACATGGCCAGGCTCAGTGTCATGTCCACTCTGGACTCTCCTAGATGCCCCTGACTCTGGCTATGCTCTCCCTTTTATCTACCACAACCCTTCTTCTCCACTATATCTAGGAGCAGTCATGTCCTTCCTTTCTGTTTCTGAGCAGTCCGCATCATTGTCTAAAAGGTCAGTGACACCAAGAGGGGCAGAACACAGAAAGAAACATGAAAAGTAAGAGCTATGTGAAGTAGAAGGTATGTCTCCTAAGACAGTGAGAGGAGTGGGCAAGGTTCCACAGGAAAGCATCAATGCTGCTGATGCAAGGGAGTGCCAGGATAAAATACCAGGAATATTCTCCTACAGCGTACGTGAGAAGGATCTCCACAGGGTTTTCACACTGTAACAGACCTTTAGCTGTGGATAGATCTGCCGGATCATGTTCAGAGACAGAGCGTTGAGGAACTTGGGTCTGTTCAGTGTTATGACTCCCGCACAGCCTCTCCTCTCCAGCAGCACTTCCGAAGCTTCTGTATGCATGGACATTCTCTGAGCCAACAAAGAATAACTTCATGAAGTTTTACCATACGCCCACAGCCAAGCACACCAAGTACACATCTTTCAAGCAATAACCAAAGGAGTGGCTACCTAGGGACATCTAACATTCTCAGACTGTACAGATGGAGCAGTTGCAAAGCAACCATGCACATCTCCTGAATCTTCAGTATTTTATTTCTAAGTGGATTGAATCAGCTAATCTAAATACAGCCTTTTCCTAGAGCACCATGGACTATGAGATACTCTTAAATCTTGTAGTTTGTTACTACATTTAAATTCTGTTAGGTGCTTAGAAAATGGGAAGAGCAAATAATTCTTACTACAGCAGCTGTGAAAAACTTGAGACAGGCAGCATCTGGGCAGGGCTGTGATGCACATAAAAGTGGAGGTGAGAATCCTAGATAGAACAATGGCATGTGCTAGCCATCAACAATGACCATCTGGACATGCTAAGATGCTAAACATGAGTACAACAAAGGCTGGACAAGAAAATGAGCATGGAAGTATAGACAGAAGAGCAGCAAGGCCAGATCACAGCTTCAGACTCGCCTGGTCTACACTGGAAAGATGTGGCGTAAACACTGGCAGTGTCACCACTTATGTAACTACAACACCGACAAAGTTCAGAGTTCAGGGTAGAGGACAGGATATACCACCAGACCCTGTAACAGGTAGGGACTAAGGAATGCCGGTAGAACCTGGTGGTCAGGTCCATTTTGATATGTTAAACAAGCACCTCAGCATTTGTCCTGGGTTTGAAACTTAACATGAAGTAATTACAAAACCTGTCAGAAACAGGAGTTTAACTACACAGCAACTTTATAGGATTTGGATGGTCACACACACACACACACACACACACACACACACACACACACAGAGAGAGAGAGAGAGAGAGAGCTTTCAGGGTTTACAGCGCCACTATTCCTAACACCTCCCTTTATCCACAGACAGCAATTTAAACCTCACAGGGGTGTTGGAACACAGTCCATGAATGAAGCTGTGTGAAATTTCTGACACCCTGAGAGAAAACTCCAAATAAACAAGACAAGAATCTTGTAACCTCTGTTTTGCCTTACCTAGGCTGTTCTTGGAATGTGCTTCCGTGCCTCTCCCTGGTGTAGAGACAGGAGCAGTTACTTTAGATTACCTGTCATCTTACCCATTGTTATTCAGAATAATGTTACAAGCAAGAGCTGTCCTCACCAATGCATACAGCTTGAACTAATGTCAACTTTGCTCATAGGACCTTGCTTAACCCTCAGAATGTAAATTGTCTAATAGATGAATAAACTTGGCTATTGCATGAGACTTTAGTCCACCTCGTTTCCAGGCTTCACTCTCCCAGGTTCACTCCACCAAACAGAGTGACAACACATGGGAACTGTGTATAGTATAAAACTGGAAGTCAGTGGGGCCAGGGAGACAACTCAGTGGTCAAGAGTGTGTAAAGCTCTTATACAGGTCCTTAGTTCAGTTCCCAGCACCCACAACAGGCTGTTCATAACTGCCTATTAACTCCAACTGCAGGGGAATCTGCTGCCCCTGGCTTCCATGGACATCACACACATACCCATGCAAAAATACTCACAAATAGGCATAATTTAAAACAGTAAAAATGAATCTTAAGCATATACTAAAGTTGGAAATTGGTTTAAATTTTAAAATTGTAGCATAGTGGTACAGTGCTTGACTTCATGTACAAATTCCTCAATTCAATCTTCAAGATCACAATATTTGGGGAGGGGAGGGGGCTGGTAGGGAGTTGGAAGGAGGGGGGAGAGGGAGAAGGGATTGACATGTGAAATTATAATTTTGTAAAAATAAAAAAATAAATAAAAAGATGACACTATTTTAAAAAGAAATGAATTTAAATTTTTACCTGGAATATGTCAAAAACCATATAGCACACATATAACTAATATCTGGTAAAATCCAAATGACATTTTGACAGCATTAAACATGTTTTCATTTTCCTTTGTAAATTCATGTTGCATATTTCTTATGACAACTCATTACTAGATATTAACCAAAAATGATACGTACTTAGAAGAGCTTTAAGCTCTGGGCAGTGACGGTGCACACCTTTAATCCCAGCACTCAGAGGCAGAAGCAGGCAGATATCTGAGTTCAAGGCCAGTCTGGTCTACAGGACAGCCAGAGCTACACAGAGAAACCCTGACTTAAAACAAAAACAAAACAAAACAAAAAACAAACCAAATAAAAAAAGAAGAAAATAATGAAAGCCTATTGAACAATAGGAAATAATTTGTCCTTTTAATTTGAATTTCTCAGCAGAAAAACCCAGTTAACACAATTTTCCCTGTAGTAAGTTATCCCTCTTAAGCAACTTGACACAGATCAGAAATTCTGATCTTGCTATGTCAGGTATAAGTAAACATACACTGTGGAAGCATTAACTATGACAGAGCCAAGGAAAACAATCAGATACTTTTCTAAGACAGGTTCTTAGTATGCTGCCCTCCAGACCACATCTATGTGTCCTGAAGTGCATTTGCCACAAATTAACAACATAAGCTGTATTGATGAGGCTGTAGAGCTACACATAAGAGCTACAGGCTCTACTTCAAACAAGCTGATACACATATGAAGAACTTAGTGTAGCTCCTGCATATAGTGCTATAGCAGGTGTTTATTCATACTAAGGTAGTCAGCAGATTCCACAAGAGATATCAAACAATAAAAATTATTTTCCTGTTATCTAGTAAAAAGAAAGTTAAGCTTTACAAGGTACAATTAGCATAATTGTTATGGTATTGGCATTTATTATTAGCAATAACTGCCAAAGTATAAAGTTATTATTTATACATTATATACTGTTTTTAAGGGGTTTTTTGAATTTTATGTGTATGGGTATTTTGTCATCATGTCTGTCCATGCACCAAATGCTTACAGTGCCTACAGATGCCAGAAGAGGACTTAAGATACCCTGGAACTGGAGTTATATACTGACAGCCACCATACAGGTACTGGGAACTGAAGCCAGTCCTCTGTAAGAACAGCCAGTCTCTTAAGCACTGCTGAGCCATTTCTCTAGTCTACATGCTAAATTGTTAAAACTTAATAACTTTTTAATATTTTGAATCACTGTGTGGTAAATACTATCCTTATTATTTATACACACACACACACACACACACACACACACACACACACACACACACACACACACACACCACATGCAGAGTCTGAAAAACTCTCTGTGTAGTATGTAGCGATATTTATGATTTATTAAACCTTCACTGAGGACTCAGAAAATCAAAGTCGGGCACATCACTTTGAAACAAGGCACACACCATTCATCCCAGAAGCCAGAAGCTAGGAGGTGGTGGTACATACTTTATAATCCTAGGACTCA